TGGTCCAGCATTTGCTAATGAAACCTGTAGTGGATCAGGAAGACCGTGTAGTTTTTTGACTTTTTTTATCAAGCATAGGAAATTTTCAATTTGAATTTTCTTCTTGATTTCCCATGGTTGAGAACGAAGGAAGCTGTCATGAAACTCCAGTAAGACAATTTTTATGCTGTTGTAGGATTGTTGTCTTATTTGAAAAAAATGCTATATCCAAGGGATTGGTTGTTGTGCTTATAGACTAAGGCATTTAATGGTAAGTTTGTAAAGGCTCCGATTTGAATTGCTAGTTTTCATCCATATATATATATATATATATATATATATATATATATATCTATCTATCTACCGTTTACAGTTTCATCATTTTGTTCTGTTACCAAATCTTAAGATAGTAGGGACAAGCACACTTGAGCCAAGTGCCCACTAATATTTCTGTTAAAAGATTGTGAACTTTTCATGTGCAAGAGAGACCCTTTGCATGGTGCTCCGGTGATCTTGCAATTTGTTTCTACCATAAATTTTATGTTTATTAGCTTTCTTTTGATTTACAAGAAACATATCTAACATATTGACTATTATATTATGATATTAATTTCGTTTAGTTTTATGTTTTTGCTTCAGGGTGGATCTGATAAAGAAGAAAAAGCTAAGTTACATAGAGAAATAAAAGAACTTTTGAAGGAGGCAAGCTCATTGTCACAGTAAGCTACTCATGCTTTGGCCATATTTCCTCCCATGGAAACAAATGGGTCTTATATAGGATTCCAACTGTTAATGATCAGAATCATCTTTGTCTTTCCTATTTTCATCTCTATTACTATTTACCGGGGTGCGCCTACACTCTACATGAGCACGAAAGATAGTAGCCACACCCCTTCTATCAATTTTTTTTTCTGTACTCTTGGTTAGATTTATGATAAAAAGATTATAGATATATTACATAGGTAATTGTTAGAATTTATGAAATATCTTGTTATGTCTAAGTTTATCCTCTTGGATTAGTATTCTTATATCCTATCTTAGGATTAGTTATTATATTTTATTATCATGATTGGTTTCCCTGACAATGGTTTATACTCTAGGTTTTTGAACATACCAACACATCAATACATTGTAATAATCCACCTCAGTTAATACCAATTTAGTATTTTATTCTCTTTTATCTCTCTTTCTTGTTCTATATCTGAAATCCCATAACTTGAATGGACAGTATGTTTTCAATTGACACAACAAAGAAAACATGTAAATTTTCATGTTCGAGCCAACTGTGGGTTCCTCTGCCTTCTCATTTATTTTATCTTAAATCAAAATAACCCGAAAGGCTATTTGTTTGTTTTTTCTATGATTTTGTGTTTACTTCCCGTTTGTATTTTCTAACTAAAGTTTCAGAGTAAATGTGAAGCTTTAAGGAAATTTTAAAATGACATGGAAATATCTTACATTTAAATATAATATAAACTTTGAATGTTATATGCTTATGTTTGTGAGAGTGTACATTAGTGACTTCATCATTCTCTCAGGCCATCAACCTTTGCACAAGGTGCAAAACTCAAGAGGAAGGCTGCTGCAAAGGAGAAGGAACTTGCAAAGTGTAAGCTATTTACGGGAGTCGTTTCTTGTTGCTTATTGCATTCTATATAAATTTAGTGGGACATTTCAAATCTACATTTTTTAGTTTGCTTCGAGTATAATTTTTTTGCCTGGCTACATTTGAAAGTGTAGGTAGGTGGTACATATGCTCTTTTCAACTGTATTTTGAACAGAAAACTGATTTTATACACATCTGTGTTTTTCCCAGTATTACATAATTTTGTGCCAGAGTAAGTAATATTGAAAATCCTAGGGAATAGAAGCTCTTTCAAGCTGATATTCTTCCTGGAATTGTCTGGAATGTTTCATCCAGAGTCCTTCACACATTCCTTGAGCAAGAGCTCGAAATTTAGCTTCTGCACTAGAACGGATACTCTATCTTGCTTTTTGCTTCTCCATGTTACCATACTATCTCCAAGAAACACACAATACCCAGAAGTAGATTTTTTGTCAGTAATAGAACCTGCATAGTCAACATCAATATATATCTTTGTTAAATATAGTGAAGAAGATTAGGAGAAATCTCCCTTATGTGTTTAGCATACACATAGGGTAGTTTATTTATAATGTAAGATAAGGGTTAAACCCTAAATACAGAATGGGCTAAGCCCAATTAACAGAAACACACAACTTAACATCTAACACTCCCCCTCAAGCTGGAGCATATAAATCATATGTTCCAAGCTTGTTACAAAGATAGTCAATTCTAGGTCCTCGTAAGGACTTGGTGAATATGTCTGCCAACTGGTTGCTTGAGTTAACGAACTCAGTCTTGATATCTCCGGATATGATTTTTTCTCTAATAAAATGACAATCAACTTCAATGTGCTTGGTTCTCTCATGGAAGACAGGGTTAGAGCTAATATGAAGAGCAGCTTGATTATCACATATAAGTGTCATGTGAGTGGCATCTCCAAATTTCAATTCATTAAGTAATTGTTTAAGCCACACAAGCTCGCAAGTAGCAGATGCCATAGCTCTATATTCTGCTTCTGCGCTGGACCTTGCCACAACACTTTGCTTCTTACTTTTCCAAGATATCAGGTTGCCACCAATAGAGACACAATATCCAGAAGTAGACCTCCTATCAGAAGGGGAACCAGCCCAATCAGCATCTGAATAGCAAACGATTTTTGTATCGTTGTTAGGGCCATATAGCAAACCTTTTCCAGGTGATCTTTTAATATACTTCAGTATGCGAACAACTGCATCCCAATGGTCTTCACATGGGGAGTTTAGAAATTGACTCACCACACTAACTGCGAAGGAAATGTCAGGACGCGTAA